TGGGCTTAGGCGATTCTCTTGCCTCAGCCTCCCCAGCAGCTGGGACTACAGACACCTGCCACAACGCCTGGCTATTTTGTTGTTGTTGTTGTTGCAGTTTGGCTGGAGCTGGGTTTGAACCCACCACCCTCTGTATATGGGGCCACTGCCCTACCCACTAAGCCATAGGTGCTGCCCCAGAAGTCTATTTTTTTATGTACAAGTGAATGAACAAACAAAATAAGCTAAATGACAAGTCCTATTGAAACAAGAAAGTGGGAGAGAGAGATCTCAACCAGACTCTAAGGTATACTCGATAGGTGGTGCTTGGCCTGCTGTCAGGGAAAGTGAACTGCATTGGCCGGTGATCTCCCTATTAGGTAAGCAAATTCACATTCCATCCTGTGTTCTGTCAAGAAGCCCTTGAGTGCTCACTCTAGGCTGGGCAGTTAAGGAGCACTAAGCTCAGAGAGACGCTGTGATTGAGACAGAGTTGCCCTCAAAGGGCACACATGGGACAATGTGCTCACAGAGGCGGCGGAGGGGACAGGAAGAGTCTAATAGTTGGCAAAGGAGCACAGGAAAGAGAAAAATGTGGGGCAGCAAAGATGAAGGGAGGAATGGGAGTTTGGGAAGGGAGGGGAGCCCAGCAGGTCCACAGGACACGACTGTCTCCAAGGACACAGTGGCCCTCTGTGCTGAGTTAGCGCCAGGGAGGAGGAACCAAGTATCCTGGGACCACAGTCTCCCGCCCCATCATACACTCCTTCCAGTAGGACAGATTATTTTTATTTTCTGAGCATTGCTTGTGACCAAAGTGAGCATTTGCAGGGGGATGAATTTCTTGATTCTGATTTACACTTGACATAGAGATGACAGATTCATGTATATCTGGGAAGGGACAGCCAGAAAAGCATGATGCTTCAGAAAGTTTTCTGGTTTACAGGAGTAAAGCAAAACAGAACCCCAACTACAGAAACTCCTCTTTTTTCATTGTAAAATTCACAGAGAGGCCAAGGGTGATGGCTCATACTTATAATCCTAGCACTCGGGGAGGCCAAGCTGAACTCAAGAGCTCAAGACCAGCCTGAGCAAAAAACGAGACCCTGTCTCTAGTAAAAACAGAAAAATCAGGTGAGCGTTGTGGTGCGCACCTGTAGTCCCACCTATTCGGGAGGCTGAGGTAAGAGGATCGGTTGAGCCCAGGAATCTGAGGTTGCTGTGAGCCAGGCTGATGCCACTACATTCTAGCCTAGTGACAAAGCAAGATCAAACTGTCTCAAAAAGCATTTTTTTAAAGTATTTTTTTCTGTGAATTTTATTTATTTAATCACAGGTTTGCTTTGAAGTAAAGATCTGTTGCTTCCTCTCCCTTTTTTACTATACAGAAAAGAGAACAAGAAATAGAAACTTATATCCTGCTTCTGATAACACCGAGACACCTGGCAGCCAGAGGCAGAAGTGGTCAAGCCAAGAGAAAGAAAGTGTAACCACTGTGCCCACAGAGGGGGCAGCAGGAAGGAGGGCTATCCCCACAGGCCCTGGGAGGTGCCCGCAGAGGGGGCAGGAGGCAGGAGGGCTATCCCCACAGGCCCTGGGAGGTGCCC